ATATATATATATATATATATATATGTGTGTGTACATAGAATATTTCATAAATTTGAAAAACTTGGTAGCTAATCTCAGCAAAAGTTGCTTTGTGTGATTCAATATTTCTATTCCTATGATGCAAAGTAACAAAAGATAGCTTAAGTAATATTTGTGGAGAACTTTTCTATTTGTAAGCCTTGGTATATATTTTCACACTTATTTAACATAATCATAAAACGTAATTTATTTTTTGTCTGTCTTCATCGATTTGACATCTTACTGTGGAAGTGCGAAAGAGTATAAAAAGTCTATGCAAATAAAATATCTTTTTACTGAATTTTGTTTATATATAGTAAAAGAAAAAAGTTTGATATTGACTCTCTTTCATTTCCTTTACTTTTCAATCACCTTTTAATATTATATACTTTTCAAGAACGAGGCAATACTTGATAAGGGAAAAAAAATTACACTCGAAATTCTATACCATTCTTTTAATTTATTTTTTCTTTTTTGCTTGCTTTCCAGCAACAAGTAGAGGTATAGCTATAGGGTATAAAATTTTTGGATAGTAAAAGAATCAAATTATTTAGTTTAAGAGGTATATAGCATCTTTAGGACTCGTTACACATACCCAAATTTTCAAACATGCAATGAAAAGAAATCCACTTTCTCAAAAGGCACTTTGCCTTTCATAAAGCTCAAAGAAGCAAACGCAAATTACGACACGCTTGTCCTTCTTTATATTATGTTCATAACAATAATAATACAGAAGAACGTATCTCATGAAGAGGTGATGAAAAAAGCTGAACATGGTAGCAAATTCCCATTGCAGGAAGAAGGATGGGTGGTGTGTCGAGCATTTCGAAAGCCTAGTCCAAGTCAAAGGCAAGGTTATGAACCATGGTGCAGCAGTAGCAGTAGTCAACAACAACACTTCTTCAGAGATCAAAGCTACGCAAGACCCTTATCCATTGCTGACATTTTGAACGAAACAAATGTGGTTCAGGTTCTTCCTTCTGAAGGTGCAAGTTTTAGTCACCCCTTCAGCTCGGATCAGCAACACTTGATGAATTTGTCAAACCAAGCTGTTATGGACAACAAATTACAACTCATTGATCTTCCACAGCTAGATAGTCCAACTGAAATCAAAGAATGTAACAACCCTAATAATGCCCTAACAAATGAGGAATATTGCAGTGATGAAATTGAAAGGAGCAATAACAGTACTGGACAAGGTGGCATTGATTGGAAGAGCTTGGACAACTTGTTTGGGTCACAATTGAGTGATGCAGCTTATTTTTCACATCCAAACTTGCCCTTGATGATGCCACATAACCATGAGCTACAACCTCAAAATCAAGCTAGTCATATCCTAGGATGCTTCCCTGCTGATTCATAACTTGTGTGTCATGTCACCATCGATGATCCATAGCCGATTAATGAATAAAGTCTAAGTAAGATAATGGATATTCTTCGTTATATCATAGTTTTCCATTTATCTTACTACCATAAGCTAATTTAGAAGTTGCAGCTGGAGATTGAACCAAAGCCTTTTAGGTGATGATGATATATATTATATAGTATATTTTTTCGTGATAAAAGGAGATTCGCTTGAAGAGTGAATCTCTCCTTTGTTTAGATTTCAGAAGATCATTTTCTTTTTCTTTTTTGGGTACTATATGTTTAACTTTTTACTGTCCTTCCTTTGTTATGTCACTTATAAATGTACATTCTCTTTATTGCATGTAGTGTGGCTTTTCTTTGCTTTAATCTATTCCTATAAGACGTCATCATCTGTATTTTGTGAGAGCATTGTGTGTTATATATTCATCAATACATGAGAGGAGGGGAGTTTGACTTTTGAGTTCATTGCTATCTTCACTATTTTCTTTTCTCAATTAGAAGGAATATCTTAAGACCCACATTAATTACATTAAAATTATTTTCTGAGTGGTTGAATTATATATATATTATAATAACGATAATACGGCTCGAACTTTAAATATAAGTGAGAATTATTAAGTGTAATTTTTTTAAGTAATATTATTTTAACAATACTTTCTCAACTAAAACACTATTTAAGAAAAGAGAGAGAGAGAGAAAATATATGTGAAATAAGATGAGTGATGATAATAGAAGAAAAAAATGACTTGTAAAATATATTGTAATCATTTTTTTTTACGAGAACAATATCAATCTTCTATTATTAATAAACAACATTTTAATTTATAATACTATCGTGAGGTATTGAAATTATTTGTTCCTATTTTTCTATTTCTTTTTTTGTTCCTCTGACTAAAAAATAGCATTATCTTAATTTTTCACTCTTTTTTTTTTTCTTGGGCCAATGTGTTGTTTTTATAATTAAATAGACGTAAGAATGAGTTGTAGTCATTTATTTTTTTACCTATATATATATATATATATAAAGTAAATGAGTGATAATGATAAGTTGTGTATAATATTACATTTAATGTCAGATTTTTATGTATAAAGACTTTATATTTTAGTAATCCTTTGACTGGTTTTAAATTAGTGTGTTTACGAGGCAATTAATAAAATGTAGGCTTGAGTTTTTTCAACACATTATGAATTGGCTAAGATATATGAGGTTGAGGACCACATATGCTTTGGGAGACCCAACCAATTAGTATTTTTAATTAGTGAGAGAAGGAATGGAAACAAATGCTAATGTCATTGGTATTGACTTGAGCGTGGTCAACCAGACATCAACCACCAAGCCTGTGTTTTCAAAATATTCAAAATGCCTTTTTATTCTGTGGGGCATTATTGTGAGCTGCGAAATAAAAAATTAAAAGTAGAAATTCAATTATTAGAGGTCTGAAAATATTTGCATGTAAAACATGACTATATATATAATATAATTAAGAACGTACTGTATCATTTTCTTTAGTTTATTAAATATTAATATATACTATTAATTAGTAGTTCATGGAATTTTGAGAAAGCTTGTTGAAAAAAAAAAAAAAAAACGGGTAAACAAAAGAATTACAAAGTTTTTAACTTAATTTATCTTCCTCCTTTGTTTTTTGTTTGGTCATTTTCGTAAACCAAGTAGGTCTCAGCTTACGTCAAACGACTAATTTCTTCTTTTTTCATTTCGCCTTTTTTTTTTTGTAAATCAGGTAAATCTTAGTTTTCGGTTAAGGATTTTTAAAATACTAAATATATTTATTTAAAGAGTTGACATTATCTAATAAATATTTTTATATAATTATAACTTGAGATTTTATTATATACTTAAAAAATAAAGTTATCTACCGATTTATTATGTCATATCTTGCTGGTATTTGTTCTTGTTTGGTATGAAATTCCTTAAAAAAAATTTGGTCTAAAATAATTAGTGCTATCTCATAAACATGCAACAAAAACTCACGAAGATGTGTGTCCCACACACTTGGCTCCATTTAGAACTAACTAATTACATCAATTGAAAATAGGAACCTTCAATAATGCATGTGACTGCAAGATGTAAACGTTAATTGACATATATATATATATATATATATATATATGAGCG